ATTCGTATGTTGGATAGGCAGCCCCGAAGTAAAGCCGGTTTACCAGGCCCTTATCCACCGGGGGGCCCGGTCTGGACAGGGCCGCGGGAGGTTTATCCCCGGGGTACCCCCCAGGTTCTTAGGGGGACTTCAGGGTTTAGGAAAAGACCACCTAAATACTTTTTCTCCATTACTATTCCTCCCCTTGTATTTTATGAAGCAGCCTATGTGTAGGCGATATGTTTTTCAATAAAGAATTCACGGTTTTAAAGTCTTTTAATTTCAACTTGTCGGTATTTTACACATTTTCAACAATACACTCTTTTTGCAGATAAGAGGTGCATCTCGTCAGAGAATTTTTTAAGGTAAATGGATGTCCAAGGAGCAACAAGATACAAAAAAAAAAAAAAAAAAACACTGATTCAGTTTATGTAAGAATCATCATTTTTCAGAAAAAAATAAATGGGGTTTTTACGAACCAACCCGGAGACCAATGGAAATCGACTATATCTTTTACCCACCGTTAGATATGGACACTTCTGAGTCCCCCAAAATTCCCTCGTTACTATGGAACAAGTTACGCGATGCCCCTTGACTCCTCAAACCTGGGGTATTAAGGTAATCCGTTCACAAAACCCCAAATTAGTTTAAGGTAACGAAAAAGAGCTTAACACACTTTTTCCCAAAAACTTTTTCAGCCTCACCCTGGCGGGTAGGGTAGATGTCCTTTAAACCCCCCCCTCCCCCTCTCCCCTTCCCCACCCTTAATGTAATGAAACTAAAAAGGAAAAATATTCAGTTTTGTTAAAATGTGTAACTGCATTAGAATATGGTAGTACACACTGCTGAACAAAAGTTTTGCTAAAAATAAAAATCTCTCGAGCTGTAACAGCGGAACCCTCCTTTTGTTAACGTAAGTGAAGTCTTTCATTACATTTCAAATATAAAAAAAAAAAAAAATAATATAAAAAAATTTTAGGGGGAAATAAGAAACTGGCTAAGCCTTAAAAGGGTGTATAAAATAAAAGGTGTTGGGGTTGTGGGGTGTGAAAAATTTTTTTTTTTTTGTGGGTTTTTTTTTGGGGTTTAATCCAATATTCTGTTTCCCTAAATCGAAATATTAATTAAGGACCCTTTCCTCCTTAAAGACCATGTGGGTGTAGAGGGGGGCGGAGTCACCTACAGGATTTTTCACCGTTCCTCAACTTATTTACTGACTTCTATTTTCTAAATTCATTCTTTTTTTTTTGTTATTCATATTTACCGTTGCAAGGTGTTTTAGCAAATGCTTTCATTGGTAAGCGCAAAACCGTGGGGGGGTAATACATGCCCGTTGTTTACTGAAATATTACTTATTGTGAAATTTTAAGAACAGGAAACATCTGGATATCTTTATTGAAAACGTTTGCCACAGTGGCTTTTTCAATACAAATTCTGGCTAATGGAAGACGTAGAACTAATTTTAAAAGATAGGTAATCTCCCTCGGCCTTGGAGTTTTGTTCCAGATCGTGGGGAGGAGAATCTGGAGCAAAGCAGATTTTATTGTGTTCGATCTTTTTTTCCCTTCCACTTTCCCCCCCCTCCTTGGTCCCTTTTGTAAGTCTTTCACCATGTCCTTTTCCGTTTTCCCCCCCCTCCTCCTCCTCCCCTTCTACTCATCCTCACCTCCTTCTCAACTTCCCCTCCCCTTTCCCTTTTCCTAGGCTTCTACTCCCCTTTTTCTTACTTCTTTTTCGACCCTCATCATCAACCCCAGTTCCCTCTTAGCCCATCTGTACCTCTTACCCGATTTCTTTTCCCTTTTCACTCAACCCCGCTCTCGATCTTTATTTCCCACCTTTTTTGTCACATTTTTGGTTCTTCGTCATTCTTAAACTCAAAAATTTTTCTTTTTGTTTTTCCAGCTAAGGGCGGCGATTCGCCACCCTTTTTTGCTTGAAGTGAAAAAAAAAGGACGCTCGTTGCAGCTCAAATTTTCATAAAGTATCCCCACAGCGTACCTTTAAGCGGTTTCCTGTTTTTTTTTCCTTCCACCAAAACCCCCCCAATATAAAAGCACGAAATTTTCGAGATTGGATAAAGTAACTTACAGGGCTCTGCCATAGGCGGTGCATGGTTTTCCCCGGTCGAAGTTATATACCATTCTAGGTTTTTTTGGATGAGTCCAGTTCCCAGCAATCCCTTGTCTCGCTTTTGACTTTAGCCTGCGGCGGGATCTTCTTGCAAGAAGAAAGAGAGTGTATTGATAGTTTCGGTTCAAATTTTACACTTTTGGGTTAAAATTAGTGATATTTTTCCTGTAATGCCCGGTTAAATTCATTGGAAATTTAAAAAACAAATACCTTGTAAAAAATACAAAATAACCACACTGAAAAACTTTTGACGACGTTTTGATCCGACTTGGACCATTAAAAAATCAAGGGGGTGGGTGGACCTGACTAGTTGTGCTTCTAGGGCCCGATTTCCTGCTCCTCCCTTTAAATGAAAGTGACGCCTGATAGGGTTTAAAGGGATTGGCTTAAGCCCGGGGGGGAATTTTTCGTGCCTCGCATGGGCTGTAACCCCCCTCCCTGAAAGCTGGCTGCCTTGGATCAACGTGTAGCACAAGCTGCACGCCAAGGTATTGTCCAGTGTGGGTAGATTGATATAGCACTACGTACCTTGTTCCAAGGTTCGTAGGTTCGAGTCTCCTTCAGCCAGAGATCAGTGTTTGTGTATATTTCGCCTGCTCTCTTGCGAATTCCTTGCATATATATATATATATATATATATATATATATATATATATATATATATATATATATTGTTATTATTGTATACTTGTATACTTAGGAAGCATTAAAACCGTATGGTCATACAGCGCCTAAGGAAAGGGAGGTAATCAGCTTTGATTCAAGGAAGCTCCAATTTCTTGGATTAAGAGCCCTATACAGCCATAAAGGAAACCTTTCCCTTGAGGGGTTGTTGCTTTCATGTTCATTATTATTATTATTATTATTATTATTATTATTATTATTATATTATTATTATTATTATTATTATTATTATTATTATTATTATTATTATTTAGCAAGCCGCTAACCAGACTGAGAGTCGAAGATCAAAATGAATTTTTTATGAGAGAGCCACAAAATTTGATTAACACAAGCCTATCCGATGTTATCCTGACGCCAAATGACTTCGAACAGGCGATAAATGACATGCCCATGCACTCTGCCCCAGGGCCAGACTCATGGAACTCCGTGTTCATCAAGAACTGCAAGAAGCCCCTATCACGAGCCTTTTCCATCCTAATGGAGAGGGAGCATGGACACGGGGGTCGTCCCACAGTTACTAAAAACAACAGACATAGCCCCACTCCACAAAGGGGGCAGTAAAGCAACAGCAAAGAACTACAGACCAATAGCACTAACATCCCATATCATAAAAATCTTTGAAAGGGTCCTAAGAAGCAAGATCACCACCCATCTAGAAACCCATCAGTTACACAACCCAGGGCAACATGGGTTTAGAACAGATCGCTCCTGTCTGTCTCAACTATTGGATCACTACGACAAGGTCCTAAATGCACTAGAAGACAAAAAGAATGCAGAAGTAATATATACAGACTTTGCAAAAGCCTTCGACAAGTGTGACCATGGCGTAATAGCGCACAAAATGCGTGCTAAAGGAATAACGGGAAAAGTCGGTCGATGGATCTATAATTTCCTCACTAACAGAACACAGAGAGTAGTCGTCAACAGAGAAAAGTCCGAGGCAGCTACGGTGAAAAACTCTGTTCCACAAGGCACAGTACTCGCTCCCATCTTGTTCCTCATCCTCATATCCGACATAAACAAGGATGTCAGCCACAGCACCGTGTCTTCCTTTGCAGATGACACCCGAATCTGCATGACAGTGTCTTCCATTGCAGACACTGCAAAGCTCCAGGCGGACATCAACCAAATCTTTCAGTGGGCTGCAGAAAACAATATGAAGTTCAACGATGAGAAATTTCAATTACTCAGATATGGTAAAAATGAGGAAATTAAATCTTCATCAGAGTACAAAACAAATTCTGGCCACAAAATAGAGCGAAACACCAACGTCAAAGACCTGGGAGTGATCATGTCGGAGGATCTCACCTTCAAGGACCATAACATTGTATAAATCGCATCTGCTAGAAAAATGACAGGATGGATAATGAGAACCTTCAAAACTAGGGAGGCCAAGCCCATGATGACACTCTTCAGGTCACTTGTTCTATCTAGGCTGGAATATTGCTGCACACTAACAGCACCTTTCAAGGCAGGTGAAATTGCCGACCTAGAAAATGTACAGAGAACTTTCACGGCGCGCATAACAGAGATAAAACACCTCAATTATTGGGAGCGCTTGAGGTTCCTAAACCTGTATTCCCTGGAACGCAGGAGGGAGAGATACATGATTATATACACCTAGTACCGAACTTGCACACGAAAATCACTCACTACGAAAGCAAAAGACTTGGCAGACGATGCACCATCCCCCCAATGAAAAGCAGGGATGTCACTAGCACGTTAAGAGACCATACAATAAGTGTCAGGGGCCCGAGACTGTTCAACTGCCTCCCAGCACACATAAGGGGGATTACCAACAGACCCCTGGCAGTCTTCAAGCTGGCACTGGACAAGCACCTAAAGTCAGTTCCTGATCAGCCGGGCTGTGGCTCGTACGTTGGTTTGCGTGCAGCCAGCAGTAACAGCCTGGTTGATCAGGCTCTGATCCACCAGGAGGCCTGGTCACAGACCGGGCCGCGGGGGCGTTGACCCCCGGAACTCTCCAGGTAAACTCCAGGTCCAGGTTATCAGCATTATTATTAGTAGTCGTAGTACTGCTTTTATTGTTGCTGTTGTTTTTGGGAGTACACGTGTCTTTTTTTTTTTTTTTGTCGCTTCCTACGCCTCTGTGATGTACAAAATTTAATATGAGGACTCAAGGCCAACAGGTGGGTTGATATGTATATAAGAGAGGCACAACCATCCTGGTTTATCATATTCTTCAGACTAGCGAGAAGAATGGTTAGTCCTGTTCTCGTCTCTATAATTCAATTCTTAATTTCTCTGTGATTTATACTCGTGTTTAAATATTGTTGAAACTTTGCAATGACAGGTGTTTTAGTGTTCGGTATATCTAACTTAAAATATATATGATTTATACATATAAGTTTGTGCATGAAAGTATTTTTTATGTGTATTGAAGTGTTTGTGTTTTGATACCATCTTACTTTTACATTTTTTTTATGTAATATGAGCATGCATGATGAATAATCAAAGTGTATTGAATATGTGTCAATGAACTGAGAGAATTCTACATGAGGACGGAGAAACCCAGTGTAAATAGGAGACTATAATATATGTTTGTCTCCGTCATTGATCTCCGACGGCAATGGGAACAAACTGTTTGTACTGGGTTTCTTTTGATATATATATATATATATATATATATATATATATATATATATATATATATATATATATATATATATATATATATATATATAAAACAAACACTGATCTCTGGCTGAAGGAGACTCGAACCTACGAACCTTAGGTAGACGCTTCGACTGGACAACATTCTTCTTCAGTTGAATGCAGAGAACTTATGCTAACAAATACCTGTTTAAATTCTCAGTAATTTATATAGGAGGACTTATGTTGTAGAATCTAACTGGTGCGTCGAAGTAACTCTTTTATGTGTGTTTACAGCGTGTGTTTATGTTGCTTGTCTTGCTGGTGGTGGTGACAGTGAGCGTGGTGTTGGGGATGAACCCAGAGCATCACAGGGATACCAGGAGTCCCCACTTGCTCCGCCTGATCAAAGGATTGAAAGTGAAGGCCCTGGGTAAAAAATGTAAGTCTCTCTCTCTCTCTCTCTCTCTCTCTCTCTCTCTCTCTCTCTCTCTCTGACCATCGTCCCCTCCCGTTTAGAATTTGCAGGCAGTTTTGCCTAGCACTCTGCCTACGCTCTCTAAGTGGTATTCTTCTTTCTAACGCCACTTTTCATTTCCTGTGACATAAAGGTTAACATTGCTGCATGACTCGCAAGAGTCATACAGCAAGAGTCAAGGTCATACAGAACCTGGGGCATGGAAAGTTATCGGACTTTACTCGAGGCAAGGAAAGGTATCTCCAGTTCCCTGGATCAAAAGCGCTTCGCTAGTGCCCAATCACTCCCATGTCAAGGGAGTCATGACAAACTGTGTTATTTACATCAGACATTCCACTGACTCATCCTATTATTAACTTCAGACATTCCACTGACTCATCCTATTATTAACTTCAGACATTCCACTGACTCATCCTTGTATTAACATAGATCACAAAGTTTGTCGTCATTCAAAGACATAATCTCAGTTATTTTTCTAATGGGATATTATTTTATCTTTATTCTCTTGGTCGTTTTCTTTAACTTCCTCGTAACGATCCCTTTCATAAATATTAAGCGAATATATATGACATTCAGTCTATATATTTAAAACTCACTTTTTTTTTTAAGTGTCGTTCACTTGTCAGGTATTAATGCAATTTTTATGCATCATTTGAATAATCGCAAAAATACAAATCATGTTATGTTTGGCGATTTTTTTAGAGGTGTGAAGTTCTCATTGTATATTCACCTAGAGGTCTTTAATCCTGTGTACATATATACAGAGAGTTGTGTATCTCAAGGTATAAATACCGAGAGGTGTACATCTGTAGCGTACAGTACATACACCATGAGTTATCTTGAATACATAGTTTACAGATAACTATATCCTTGATTGGTGGCATTCAGGTGAAATGCAGTCTTCATGACCCTCATGCTGTCCAGAGGCTTTTAGCCTAACCATCCCATTATTCTATTATTTTTAATGACTTGGTGGCCCGAAATGACTTGTGACTGATAACAACACTGTTTTCTTCCAGTTCTACTAGGATGACGGCAGCTGATGTGCGTCGTCGACTTCAGGAGTACTGAGAAGCAATTCTGCTCTAACTCTCGTGTTTCCCATGTACATAACTGGCAAAAAATTCCTGTGTTACTCTGATATATATTAAGACTTATAGCAATAAATACAATTATTTAAGGCATTACTGTTATTATTTTTGTTCCTGGAAGTGTGAATTTATTTAATTTTGGTCTGAAGATCACTGTGGGGAATAAATTACCTGCATGAACCTCATTACATTCGTACTAGTAATTTAATGAAGGCAACAAAGATAACTCTTACTTACCAATTGTTACAAAACTGAGGCATGTAGGAATATTGTGAGACACCCTAGGTCACAAGGAGAATGTCTCCCTTCGACACTCTTTACCCTCTCACATTCCCACATCTACTCTGGACCTATAAATATTATCAATGAATTTAATAAACACAATCAGTAATTCTGGTAATAATATTTACATTAAAATTAATGGACTGTATGTCATGTGGGTTCGAAACGTGGATAGGGTAAAATACTCACGTAGGCTGGTAGTACGTATAATATTATGGAATGTGTGTGAAGTGCCAACCGCCGTCCTGCCTCTCTGCTCTCTATCGTAAGACTAACTGCTCACAGTGCCCATATGGGAGGGGGTGTTTGAAATCCTGCTATGGTCAGCGCAATATGAATACAGTCAGTGATTCACGCAGAGACGGTTGGTAGTGAGTCATCTACTGGTACACTGGTTACTGGTTACTACTACTGAGAGCTCGGCGATGCTAACGTAATGTCGTCCGACATACAACTAATACAAACTAGAGATGGCAGGTATATGGCTTGGGCTGATTCTATACAATGTCAAAGTACACAACAATTGAACATTATAACATACATAAGTAGAATATTGGAATGGAAGCTTATGTAACTGAAACTGTAATGCAATACAAGGTATAATATAGCACAACTCATCGAATGAAACTCAACGTTGAGATTACACAATAGAATTGATAAAAAAAAAATTGATCGATCGATCTGTATTCATGTGATCTACGGATTCTGAGGAAGGAATATATACAAAGAAAGAAGTGTTTAACAGAAAGGCAGATTCGGTGCACTCAAATCTAGACTGTTAACTCAGAATTCGGAGAGAACGTGAACACAAAAAAAAATTCTTGAATACTGATAAGTTGATACTGTAATTATTCATCTATACAGGTTATTTACATTTAACCCCAACTCTGCTAGGGTGAGATTGACATATGCAGAATGGGTGTCATCTCTGGGAGGATCAAACTCTGTTGCACTGGCTAACTCATGCTGTATTTGAGGCAAATCTGAATTGGTAGTTACAAATGATACTTGAGGATTTCTCAATACCTGCCGTGTACGTAGGGAATAACGACATTCAGGTTGATCGTCTGACTGAGTATCAGAGGTAGAGAGGTAGAGAGTACAGGATCAGGAGGATTGTCAGAGTCTGTCACATTAGTCTGAGTTGGAACATCATTATCATCACATACTAACTTCATATGATCTAAATGTGATTCTTTATACTGACCAGTACTAATTTCTCTAACCTTATACTTATTACCAGTGATATGTTCAACTACTCGATAAGGACCAACAAACTTTTGATCAAGCTTTGGCATTGCAGACGTTTTGTTAAAGTTAGTCAGCATAACTCTCGAACCTACTTTGATTTTGGATGGCTTTGCTCGAGTGTTTGCGACTCTTGTAAATTCTGCTGTTGATTTATAAAGTGTTTCACTACGGATTCTTCTAAAAACACTTTGAGCTAAGCTGGTACGAGTTGCTATGAAATCATCAGGGTTGTAATTTGGTTTCGGATTAGAATATAACAACTCATAAGGCAAACGTTTATCTACACTGTACAATGCATAATGTGGAGTGTCACCTATAGAACCATTGTAAGCAGAATTTATAGCACACTGCACATCAGGTATAACTTCATCCCAAGTTTCACTGTTGGGATTGATAGTGGCTCTCAAGACATCAAGTACTTTCTTATTGGTTCGTTCCGCTAACCCATTGCTGGCAGGATGATGAGGAACAATAGTGGATTTAGAGATCTTGTACAAGGTACACAAATTTTCAAGAATCTCATTACAGAATTCACCTCCATTATCTGTTACTAGGGACTTAGGTGGTATGCCTGCAGATAATGCGTTCCTTAAACACTTTAGCTACTGTCTCGGCCGTCTTATCTGCAATAGGAACTAACTCACAATATCTGGTGAAATGGTCTACCATAACACATAGATGTTTGTTGCCTTGGAGGGAACATTGGAAATTAGTTAACAAATCTAGCGCAACTCTTTCCCACGGTTCGCTAGTAGTTGGATACACTTGGATTGGATTAGGGCCGTTAGCATTACCTTTATGTTGCATGCAGACACTACATTTCTTAACATACTCAGAAGTATCAGTTGCCATACGAGGCCAAAAGTATTTCAATCTGGCTTGTTTTACTGAACGATCCATACCAGGGTGTGCAACACCTGGTACATCGTGAACTAGCTGTAAGGCTACATTCACTAGTGACTGTGGAATTACTAACTGGTATACTCTTCTGCTAGGAGTACCCAACTCGGCTGTTCGATACAGTAATTCTTGGTTCGTGACAAAGTCACTGATGGGTGCTGGTGACTTCACAGTCAGAATAAGATCTTCCTGGAGCAGGAATCGAATCACACCAGACCACATGGGATCTATTCGTTGAGCATTCTTTACATCCTCAGCACTAAATGGAGGGTCTGCAGTTACTATACTAACATGTCGCAATAAGGCATCGGCGACTACATTTGACTTGCCAGGTAAGTGTTCAAAGGTGGGATTGAACTCTTGGATAGTCAAGGTCCATCTGGCTAACCTTCCAGTAGGTTGTTTGTTCTGGAATAAAGGTATCATGGAGCAAGGTCTGTCAAGACATGAACAGAGTACTGATAAATAAATATCTCGGAAGTGCTTTAAAGAACCAACAACTATGCTAAAGCTTCTTGCTCAGTTACTGTATAATTATGTTCAGCCTTCGTAAGGACTAGGCTAGCAAATGCAACTGTGTTGTACTTGCCATCGGTCTTCTGAGCTAGTATGGCACCTATGCCAATTGAACTAGCATCAGTTGTCAGATAGAAGGGCTTAGAAAAATCTGGAAATTTCAAAATTGGAGCAGATGTTAGCTTTTCTTTTAGAGTTTGGAATGCTCTTTCTTGACGGAAGGTCCAAACAAAAGGAGCATCTTTCTTAAGCAACTCAGTTAGAGGAGCAGCTATAGAAGAAAAATTGGCAATAAAAGATCTATAAAAACCTGCTAAGCCCACAAAGGATCTTACGGCATCAGCAGTTTTGGGAGTTGGAAAATTTAGTACTGCAGTTACTTTACTTTGGTCAGTCGTAACCCCTCTAGGAGTGACTACGTGACCAAGAAACTTAATTTCTGATCTGAAAAATTGACATTTAGACAGTTTGATCTTTAAATTGGCTTCTTCAAGCTTACCAAGTACTACATCAAGTCTTTTCAAGTGTGTATCCACGTCTTTAGACATGACGATTACGTCATCTAAGTACACCATAAGTGCATTACCTATGAGACCTCTAAAGATATTAGTCATGAGCCTTGAGAACGTGATAGGGGAGGATCGTAATCCAAACGCCATACAGAGGAAGTGATAATGACCTGTAGGAGTGGAGAATGCAGTTAGCTCTTGGCTGTCCTCGTGAAGAGGGACTTGCCAAAACCCTTGTAACAAATCCAGGGTTTGAAAAGACTTTGTTTATCTCCGATGTTACGTAAAAGATCACCCAGTACAGGGAGTGGGAAGCGATCTGGAATAGTTATTTCGCATTAACTTCCTAAAGTCAATCACTGGGCGCCAAGTACCATCCTTCTAGTACTAGGATCAAGGGTGCATTCCAAGGTGAATTGCTAGGTGCAATAACTCCATCATCAAGCATTTGATTGATCAATTCTTCTGCAACAGCAACTTGTGAATGAGGCATTCTGTATGCAGGTATGTAGATAGGTCTAGTACCAGGTTCAAGTGGAATATGATGGGACAATAAGTTCGTTATACCCATCTTCTCACCTGGTAAGGCAATGGCTTTACGACGTTTGTTCAACAGAGTCAACAAACGCTTGACTTCATCTGGGAAGTCATGGGAGCTAAGTCTTTCTCTCCTCAACTGGTGGAACAGATTGATCCAGTGAAGTGGATGAGGTCTCCCCGATAGAAATAGCACCGACCCACTGGTCAGGTGACAACTCATCCTCTACCTGAACAAGGTAAGGATAGTGAACAAGGTCAACAAGATTGGTATTTGCTCTGAGACGAACACTGTGACCAGAAGTGTTAGCTAGGAAGAAATGGATCTTACTATCTCTTACAACATGTAAGGATGGTTCAACAAATAGACCTTTTACTTTGCAAGAATCACTGTCAACTAGGACGTTATCACCATCTGGAACACTAGGAACAACAACAGACACTCTAGTGAGGGCACTAGCTGCGACAGAAACGTCTTTCTGCAGACGGCATGTGACATCAACAAGAGATGGCATTACTAGTTGCAAGTAACTGTTTTCCGGCAAGGCGTCCCCTGTGGAGAAACTACTACTTGAACTAGCAGACATTGCAGGGATAGGCTCTGCACTCAAAGTAGTCAGAGCGTCCTCGGACACTTGAGGTAACTGGACACTATCTTGCAAGTCTGAAGTTGCAGGAACACAGACAGGAGTGACAGGATCATCAGTGCCTGACCGCTTGGGTACGCTACTGGAAAATGCACTGGCCTGTAAGGACTTAATTCGAATGTCATACTCTGCGGCAGTATGGCAGATCTCGGATCCAAGCTGGTAACCCCAAAATGGTACGATCAAGTCATCAATTTGGGCATGCCATCGATAAGGGTCGAGCACAATGTGTAAGTCTTGCATGGAAGCAAATCCCAGTAGAAGGTCACCAGGGAAAGTAATCTGGTCGACAACAAGGAAGGAAGCAGTGAAGTCTCTACCTTGGATAGAAAAAGTTAGGGAAGTCCGACCTCAGACACGCAGGTGAGAACCAGCTACTCCACTAAGGGAGGACACATGAGTCGGTTCTACGAGAACATGTCGTAACTGCTTATCCTTAAACAAA